TAGGCAAATCAGGGTCTTTTCAAAGAGCAAACAAGCTCTTTCTGCAGGAGATAAGCTGCTGTGTGGGCTACCCATGCCTTGACCTGCTTTCCCATGGGGGGCTTGGGACTGCTGGTTGCACCCCTGGGGACAGGGACAGGGCTGCTTTGCTGTCCTTTGGGGAAGGGAAGGTGCCTGCAGGTCTGATTAAGGGGGGGCTGACTTTGTCCCACAGGGGGAGGCAGCTCCTGCTGCCCCAGTGCCTGGACCCGTTTTCTTTGCCCCGTTGGCTCCAGCTAACAACTCAAGGCTTGTCTCTGTCCCGGCCAAGTGCAGTGATGCTGGAGCTGCGAGCCCCATACGGGCTGGCCTGGCAGGAGGGGTAGACCAGTGCTCCCAGCTGGAGGCTGCCATTTCCAGTTCTGCAGGAGAGCTGTGGTGCTTCAAGTTACAGCCTGGCAGCTGTGAATCCAAGCTCTCCCCAAAGCCAAGCGGTTTGCAATAAGCTCTCAGGACCAGTTCAGGTGCTGTGGCTGCCATGGTCCACGGCCAAGCCCTGGGGAAGGTGCCTGTAAAGCCGAGTGTGACGCTTGTGCTTCTGGAGCAGAGCCTGGAGCAAGCCACCATCTGAGTGCAGTGGCTCACAGAAGCTTCTCACCCTCCTTTCTGCCACCAGCGATGACTGCTGACAAAGTCCCCGTGCTGCCCGACGCGCAGGCTGACACGAGCTGCCTCGCAGGCTGAAGGGATGTTTGGGAGAGCGATGCTCCTGCTCGCCAGCCCTCCCTCCCAGCGCAGCACCTCGTCCCCTGCCCTGCCCCACGGAGCAGCAGCGCACCCTTAAAGCGGAGAGGATGTGGCTGAGCGGATGTTTGTCCCTCCTGGGAGGGTCTCTGCAGCCATGCGGCGTTTAAACCTCTTAACGTCGGGATGCACCACCCTGAGATGGGAAATTCAAGGCACCCAATGATGTTACCTGTTTCTTACCGTCGCCTGCTGAAGCATTGATTCATCAGCTCCAACACGGGGGCCAGGAGAGCCGTGGCAATGCGTTTGGGGGGCCTGGGGGTGGAGGGAAGGGGCCCCAGCGGTCAGCATATCTTGCTTTCATCCAGTGTTTCCTGAGCACAGCCGCTCGGCAGCACAGGAAACCCCAGGGGCTGGGAAGCAGCGGCAGCCCAGGCAGAGAGGGCAAGAGCCGCCCAGAGACCCTCGGCAAGGGGGGGGGGATTGGCCCAGGTCAGAGCTGGAGCTACAGCCCGGCTTCCACACAACCTTCTGGCCATACAGAGGAGTCGGCAAGCTTCTCCTCTTCCTTCCTACCGCAGGGAAGCTCTCCACTTGGAAATCACTAAGCCTCCTCTGTCCTATTCCATACCACAAAAGTCTGGAGAAGACTCGAGTGGATGCGAGCTTGAAAAAGCACCAGGTGATTTAAACCGCCGCGATGGCCTCAGCTGGAAAAGGGTCAGACTGGCCTAAAATAGGATGTTTTTGTGGCTCCAGTTCTGTTCCTATTCAGCACAGTTGTTTCAAGCAGTGAGAGGGGAAAAATGCCTGGGCTGCTTGCGGTGCTGCTCCTGGGCCCCTTAAGCCAGCCTATTAACACCTCTAATCGCCTGGCCAGGGCAATTTCCTGGTGGCTGCTGCACAGTCCTGGCTGCAAGGAGCCCACAACTGCCCCGTATTAACACTTGGAATTGTTATGGGCGAGCAATTAGGCCGCACTCAGCCCAGCAAAGCAGCGAGAGCAATTATGACCATCCTATTAAAACTGACAGAGCTGGCTCTATATTTAGAAACACGGGGAACTGGGTGGTTTATTTTTTTCCCCTTCCTTAAATGATTTTCCCCAAGTCTCCATGGTCCATTTAGCTGGTTTCAGCCGCAGCCAGCTGTAAACTTTGGAGGGGGCATTCTCCGCTCGGAGCCATGTGCAGTTGTTATTTCCTCTGATAATGAAGCCGGGTTGGAGAGGTGTCAGCGCGCTGCGGGGTGAGGGGGGGGGGGGCTGTGCCAACGTGCTCTATCTTTATCTTTAACTATCAAACCTCCCCCAGCCCACCTGTAAATCCCATCTAGGGGTCAGCGCTCAGTGGGTGAGATGGTGGCGGGGCTGGGGAGGCCAGTCTAGATTGGGGGGGGACGACGACGACGCAAATTGGAGTTTAGGGTGCTACTAGCACCTCCTGGGGCACATCTCATGCGCTCCTCTGTATCCTAAAGGGATGGGGGGGGGGGGGGGGCGGGATGATCTGCGGAGGTATAGACACGCGGGGGGGGGGGGGGTTGAGGGGATGGGGATGGGGGTTGAGGGGATGGGGGGGGTGGTGAGGGGATGGGGGGGGTGGTGAGGGGATGGGGGGGGTGGTGAGGGGATGGGGGGGGGTTTGAGGGGATGGGGGGGGTGGTGAGGGGATGGGGGGGGTGGTGAGGGGATGGGGGGGGTGGTGAGGGGATTGGGGGGGGATACACTGGGGGGGGGCGGGTCGCGGAGTAGGTGGGGGGGGGGGTTGGGGGGGGGTCCCGCTGACCTCACAATGCGGGCGGGCGCTGCCGCGGGAGGCGGGCGGCGGGAGGCGGGCCGGTGACTCATGGCTTCCCCACGGCGGGCGGCTCCTCCCCGCGGCCGCCGGCCCCGCGGCAGCCCCCGGCACATGGGCCGCGGCTCCGGCAGCTCGGAACCGGGGATGGCCGTACCGCCCGGCTGCTGCCCGGACTGCCCGGGCTCGGAGATGGGCGGCCGTGGGATCTCCGCCGTTCCCCACCTCGGGATTGCGGTGGATGAGGGGGATGTGCTGCCCGGGGCGCTGCGGCTTATGCGGGAGCTGAGACCCGGGTGGGAGCCGGCCAGGGTGAAGACCAAGGTACGCCCCGCCGGGCGGGGTGGGGGGGGGGGGGGGGGGACAACGACACCGGACACATACGATTCCCCCACCACCACCCGCGGGGATCAGCCGAAGGTGCTGCAGAGCCCAGCTTGGGGGGGCTGTGGGGTGCTATAGCACCCCCCCTGAGGCGCCTGTAGAGCTCACTCGGGGGGGGGGGGGGGGGGGGGGCTATAAGGTCCATGTGAGGGTGACGGTAGGACCCGCCATGGGGGGGCTGTAGGACCTGTCAAGGAGGGTACAACACCCAGTCCCCCCCACCCCCAGATCTCTGGGCTCAGTGCGGATGTGCAAAGGTGTGACACCGCCCCCCCCCCCCCCCCCCCAACCCCCGCAGGCTTTGGGGACCCCTCGGGCGGTCACTGAGCGGTGACTGTGAATGCAGGTGTGTCCCCAGGGTCCCTCGAGGCTGCCAAAGTGGGTGAAGGTGGGGGGGGGGGCTGGCTGCACTACTGGTGTGTCGTCCCCCGTCCCCCCCCCCCCCCCCCCCCGCCAGAGTCACTCCTGCAGGTGCTGCACCCCTGCCTGCACCCAGTGCTGCCAGGCCCCCTGCTCGCAGGAGTAGCTGCTCCCAGGAGCAGGGCTCGCTTGGGTTACTTGGCTTTGCACCTTTTGCCAGCTCACGTAAGCCGAGCGCTGGTTCGGGTGGGAGCTGGGATTCAGCGCTGGGCTCCCTGCACGGGACGGGGCTTGGCTGTGCGGAACTGGCAGGGCTTTGCTACAGCAGCTGGGAGAACGGGGCTGGAAGCTGCCTGGAAGTGGGGGGTCCCCTTCATCCTCCTCACCTCTGCCCGGGGGTGCCGGGTCTAGGGTGGGAAAACGAGGGGGTGGGGTCTGTGTCCTCCCTGGGCTCCCGGCGATGGGCACGGGAGTGTGGAGGTGGCAGAGCTGGGTGCGCTTAAACATATACACATGTGTATGCATGTCCCTCTGAAGGCACATGCTTCCCGTGTGCCTGGAGTCATTAAAAATGTATTAATAGCCAAGTGTAATTAAATACAAGAAGCTGCAGGAAAATACATCTGAAAGGGCAGATGGCAATAGGCAGGAAGCTCGGAGCTGGAGTTCCTCAGAGCGCATAGTTGTAGGGGCAGGAAATGTCTCGGGGCTCTGTGCAGCGCCGAGCACAGACCTTGGTGGCGATGGTTGTTTGAGAAGGAGCCCAGCTCGCTGGTATCCAGGCTCTCTCCAGGCATCGGAGGGGGTCAGTGTTCAACAGCAGCTTGTCTGTGCGTGCGTGTGTTTTTAATTAAAAAAAAAAAAAAAAAAAAAATCCTTAGGAGTTGAGACAAGGCGGGGGGGGGGCGGGGGGGGAAGCCTCCAGTTGTGTTTCCTTTAGTTGCTATCGCAAGAGCTGTTCGGGAGGGGATTGGAGCGGTGCACTGGTCCTCAGCTGGTTCCCATTAGCGTTCCTGTCCGCTTTCCTCCGCGCACTGGAGCGGTGCCTGGTTCACACCACCTCGCTGCACGGTGTCGGTGCACAGCTGCTTGCAGGGGCTGTACCAGCCTGTGCTGGTGACACGGAAAAATCTCCCAGCGCTTGGGGCAGGGTGTGGGAGATGGGAAGGAAGGCTCTGGGTGCTTGGCTTCCCCCGCCTGCCCTTGTTGCTGGGGTCTTCAGCCCCCTGTGCTCCAGGTTGTGCCCGCTTTCCAGGGCTCCTCATCCTTTAAGCTCTGTCCCTGGGCCGAAGCATCTCCGTACCGAGGAGGCACAGGCAGTATCGGTGAGTCAGCCAGCCACGCTATCAGGGAAGCACACACTCCTCCATCCCTCATCCGGCGATAAGAAGAGCAGCAGTGATGTGGAGCCAAACCCCTGTGAGGACTCTGGCATGTCTGGATGATTTTTAGCTCCATTTTGGTAATAAGGTGCCTTTTTGCAGTCCGGCTGGGGGTGTCTGCGTGGGGAGGCGGCCAACGTGGCACTACTTTGGGGTGCTGAGGGAGTCTCACGGCAGGCACAGCGCCGGCGTGTTGGATGGAGCTGCTTCGCTTCAGCGTCTTCGCACAGGGCTTGGGTTTCGCTTGGCGTTTCATTGCTGCGAGGCTCCTGGTGTGGGGTCACACTCGCTTTCCCCCAGCTCCCTGCTGTCACACAACCACGGCAGGGAAAGATTTGGGCTGGTAGCAGAGCTGAGGCCCTGCTGATAGCTGGCTGTGCTTTGGATCCACAAAGAAATAGCACCGGGCACCTCCCAAGCAGCTGCGCTCGGGAGCTGGAGGAGCTGCCATCTCCAAACCAGGCGAGCCCCTGCGTGCAGGTTGCTGGCGAACCACGTGTGAGTCTCCAAAGTTAGCGGCCTGGAATTCAGAGGGGGATAAGGCTCAGTAATCTTGTTAAACCCTCTGTAAAGGGCTGATCGGGCTGTCGAGCAGCAAAACAAAGCAGCGCGAGGACTTTGCAGGCGAGGTGGCCCTGAGCATCTTGGCGTGGAGCCGTTCACCTGCGACCGATGTGCGTGTTGGCTGAGGGAGGGCGCCAGCCCCGGGGTGCACCGCCTTCTGCACGGGTGGGCCATGCATGGCACCTTTTTCTTGCTGAACTTCTGGCCTCTGGGGCCTGGCAGGACAAAGAGAGGAGACCTGTGTGTGGCACCGTTGTGGAAACACAGATTACCTGCCTTGGAAAAAGGTTGCTTGAAAAGATTCGGCCCACCAGGGATGTGGTGGCTGGCTCGCCGCTTGCCGGGCTCGCCCCGAATCCAACACCAGCCAGCTGCATAACGAGGGGTGTTAACGCCGTCTAACTTCGGATGTGTCATTCCAGTGCTTTGAGTTTCCCTCGGGAGACTACTTGGGGGACCCTATATATAGGCACCCTATATAGGAGAGTGAGTTGCTGAGTGGGATGTCTATAATTAGCTGTCCCACCCCCGAGCACCGCTGCTGCCGTAGCACGTGCCCTCGCCCCGCTCCCGCTCCACCAGCATCACACCTGCTCCGGCTCCCCGAACCCCAACGGGATAAAGAAATGACTTTCCTGGGGAGCAGCAGCACCCCGGTGTGCTCAGCCTCGGTGCCAAGCAGGAACCACGTGGGGCTGAGCATCTTGCCTGCGTGGGGGACGATGGAGCGGGGGTTTCCTGTGGGGCGATGGAGACCCAAAGCCCTCGGTGCACCGGAGGCGACCGAAATCGCCGCGGGATGGGGAGAGGAGCCCGGCACGGGCGGCAGCCCCTGCGTGTGCGCAGGCAGGCGGCCAAGCCGGGCCGGCGGGAGAACAAAACTCTCTTTCCATCTGTGAGGAGCCATCAGAGCAATGACACGAGACGTCCCCAGCAGAGATGTCCCTGCCTATCAGCAACCCGGCCCTGCGGGGAGGGTCAGGAGGAGGAGATGGTGTTTGCTCCGTGTTGTTTGCTGGGTGGTGGTTGTTTTTTTATTTTGGTTTGGGTTTGTTTTTTGGTTTTGTTTGTTGTTTTTTTTTTTTTTTTTTCATTTTGCGCCAAGAGATTTACGCTGATTTTTTGGGGAAGCGATTCCTGGGGCTGCTCGGGCACCAAGCTTGCTGGCGGCACATCTGGCCTGAGCTATTCCTGAGCTTCCAGGTGAAAAATGGCAGGATTTCCACCCAAGCCACCAGCTTTGTGCAGCTGAAGCCTGTGGCCCCGTGCAGTACATGTATGAACCTTGAAGCCTTGCAGACTCATGCCATCTGCTGCGGGAGCTTTCCTGGCTGCGGTGGGCACAGCTGCTTCCTGCTCTCTTTTGCCCGTTATTGCCTTTGCCATGCTGCTTTCTCCCCGGGGTCTGCTGGTGGGAAGGGGGTTTCCCCCATGCCCGGCTGGCACGGCAGGGATGTACAGGCATCGGCTCTGCTGCCCTTCTCCCCCTCCAGCTCTTCACCGACGGCATCACCAACAAGCTCGTGGCTTGCTACACTGACGAGGGCATGGCGGACGCGGTGCTGGTCCGTGTCTACGGCAGGAAGACGGAGCTCTTCGTGGACCGGGAGACGGAGCTGAGGAATTTCCAGGTGCTGCGTGCCCACGGCTGCGCCCCCGACCTCTACTGCGCCTTCCACAATGGGCTCTGCTACCAGTTCCTGCCGGGCATCGCGCTGGGACCCGACCACGTGCGGGACCCCCACATCTTCAGGTGTGCAGGACCCCCGCGTCCTTGGGTCGAGGGGGGAATCACGGGATGGGGGAACCGATACTTCTCTGGCCGTGAGGGGTTTGCTCTGTGTTTCCAGCTCTCCCTCTGCCGCTGCTTTTGCGCCAGACTCTAGTGCTCGAGCAGTGCTGATGTGCACACACCTGGGTGGTGCTGGGTGATAAATGGGCTAAACTGCAGCTGGGTTTATTACCCTGTTTTTAAAGTTTTTGGGGAATAGAGATTTCCTGAGAACCACAGCTTTTATTTGGACTTGCCCTGGAAAGGTGAACACCGTTTTTGACCCAGACAGAGTCTTGAAAAGGCTTGCAGCTGAAGTGGAGGGGAGACTGAGCTGTGCTGAGGCTGCGTTTTTAAACATGGCTTTCGGGGAACCCCCCTCAAGGCTGGTTTTGTGGAGCGCTTCTCTCAGGAATGCTGCTGCGTGGCCACCTCTCACCTGCGTGTCCGTGTTTCCTTCCAGGCTGGTGGCCCAGGAGATGGCCCGGGTACATGCCATCCATGCCAACGGGAGCCTCCCCAAGCCCATCCTCTGGCAGAAGCTGCACAAGTACCTCACCCTCGTGAAGACGGAACTCAGCCCAAAGGTATCCAACCCCAGGTAAAGGCAGAGGGATCCCAAAGAGCCAGGCTCTGGCTTGGGCATCCGCTGCCCACCCATCTTTAGGTCTTCCCCCGTATGGGACCGGGGGGGAAGAGCCCCGGTTCCCAGGTAAAGCCTCTGCGGGACTCTGGGGTCGGTGAGCAGGGCTGGGGCTGGCGTTGGGGCTGGATCCGGCCCTGTGGCCACTTCTGGATAAATGATCCTCCCGTGAGCAAACTCATGGCTGAGTCTCCAAGAGGAGTTGGGGTGGAGGCATCTCCGTGCACCCTTCAGCACCCTTCATCCTGCCGGTCTGGGGATGAGGTTTGCTGTGTTAGAGCAGAGACAGCTCTGCGTTATGTCTGTACAGCACCCAGGCAGGATCCGGCCTGAACCAGAGACTCCCACCTGCTGTAATAATCTGCCCCCTCCTCCTCCCTGCAAATCTAGCCTGTGTTTTAAGCCCTCCCTAGAATAAGCTGAAGCTCAAACCCTTCTTACGGTGGGGATCTGAGCAGCAAGGTTGAGCTGACGTTGGAGGGGATCCTAGAAACCCAGTATAGATTAAAGCAGCCAGTTCCCACTTCAAACCAGTTCATCCCATTTCTGGGAGCCTGGGTTCATGCCAGGTGAGTTCCGGGGTGTCTGGGAAGGATACGGGCAGCCCCAAGAGGTGGTGGAGGTGAATGAACCCGAAGGCAAGCGAATAATTAACCTGTTCCCTGAGCAGCAGTGCAGGACACAGGGCTTTTCTCAGCACTCGCCCCGCTGCAGGCAGACTTTACCCAAGCCTGCACCTTCAGTGCAGCCAATTAGGTAATCATTAACTGGCTCTCTTCTTGGAATAGAAACTTCTGAGGCTACTGAGAGGGTATGTGCCCTGGCAGGGTCCAAAATATTCCTGTTGCCTGGGGGGTTAGTCGGGCACTTTGGGAGCGAGCGCTGCGGGGCTCCATGGCTGGTTGGGTGAATTTAGGGGATGGATGCGGGTGTTAGTGGGGAGAAGGGAAGAGCCCCGTGGCATCTGCAGGCAGCCTGGGTGCCACCCCGCACACCAAAGGATGTCCAAGCCAAACCTGGCCTCCCCACCCAAAATGGCCTCATTAGCCCTGCTTCGTGTCACTGATGAGTTCGTTTATAAAATGCACGGATGGAAGCAGGGGCCAACGCTGCCGCTCTGCCCCTGAGGGAGGTTCCCCGTGAGCAGAAGTGATTCCACCCCGTCCCCTTCCCCAGCCTCCAGCAGGATGTGCCCAGCCTGGAGATGCTTGAAGAGGAGCTGGCCTGGATGAAGGAAACGCTCTCCCAGCTGGGGTCCCCCGTCGTGCTTTGCCACAACGACCTGCTCTGCAAGAACATCATCTACGACAGGACACAAGGTTTGTGGCAGCAGCTTTGCACACCCGGACGAGGGGTCTGTCCCTCGCCCACCTCCCCGGGGGCCGGCGGCTCCATCTCCAGCCCCTCTCTCAGCCCCTGCCTTTGCCTCCACAGAGCACGTTCGCTTCATAGACTACGAGTACACCGGCTACAACTACCAAGCTTTTGACATTGGCAACCACTTTAATGAGTTTGCGGGTGAGTTGGGCTCCTCTCCGTGGCACTGAAGGTTCCCCCCCCCTTGTTTGCAGCGGCTGCCTCAGGGATGGAGGAGGTGGTTGTATCCCCAGTCCCATGGTGGGAAATGGGGCAGCACCTCCTTGGGCTGCCTGGGGTTAGAGAGATGTGTGAGGGAAGGTCTCTGCTGGCGCTGGGGGCCGTGCTGCCGGCGGGGAGCCCCCTCTTAACCATGCAAGGGCTGGGTGCGTGCTCAGATCAGCGGGTTTGATCCCAGGAGCTCCAGGGCTTTCGCTCACCCGGTTGCGCGTGGGGAATAGCCCCACTGCCACACCGTTTGTCTCTGGAGAAACCCTTCCCTTTCGTCCTTCTGCCCCTCGGGCATCGCTGACCCCAGCTCCCCTCGCAGGCGTGAAGGAGGTGGATTACCGCCTCTACCCCAGCAAGGAGACCCAGCTGCAGTGGCTGCGCTCCTACCTGCAGGCCTACAAGCAGCTCACCCAGGGGGACCGAAGAGGCACGGGGGTGTCTGAGGAGGAGCTGGAGGCTCTCTACGTGCAAGTGAACAAGTTTTCTTTGGTGAGTGGTGGGGATGGGAAGGAGCCAGCCTCTCTTGAGGGCTGCTCGTGGGACGGGTTTTTCCCTTGCTTTCAGGTGAGCCAGGGTTTCGTGCTGCAGCTCTGCTGATGAGGATGGGGGTGCAGGGGGTTTGGGGGCAGCTGGGGCAGGAGGCTGCCCCAAAGAGCCCGGCTGCACCTTGGAGGCACTCAGCCCCTGGGCAAGGTCAAAGATAGCACTGGCTGCCTGCCATCCCACCAACACATGCCAAGGAACAGCATGTCTCTGATAACTGTGGCCTTGGGCATCCCTTCAGAGAGGCCAAGCACAGCTGAGAGTGAGAAAATCCTCGTTGGTAAATGCCATGGGCAGGCAGAGCCAATTTTCTGGAAACTTAAGGCAAAATCTCGGCTGGTTTCCTGGCAGGAGCTGCCAGGAGGGACGTCCCGCCTGCAAACGCAGAGGCTGGTACCCTGAGCGTGTTGTTCAGCATCCTTCCTGCTGGCATCCCTCGTCCGGGCTGGGACCAGCCTCCGGAGCATATAAAAATACACACGTGGGCCAGCCCCAGCTGGCTGCCACCCTGTGTCCTGTTGTCACAGCCACGGGACTTCTGGGACCCAGCCAGGAGAGGCATGAGCGACTCGTCCCGTGGGCAGGGGTGCTCCGTGCCCATTTCTGATCTGTGTTTTGTCCATTGCAGGCATCCCATTTCCTCTGGGCATGCTGGGGCCTGATCCAGGATAAATACTCTACCATAGACTTTAACTTCTTAAGGTGAGTCTGCCGGGGCTGGGAGGGTGTTTGCTCCCAGCGGAGTTCAGTGTTAAATGACTGGAACAAGAGGATCCCAAAGGCCCCTCTGTGCTGGATGGATCCTCTGTGGCCGGGAGGGGGATGAATGTCTCATGTCCGTCCCTCTCCTCTCTCGGCAGATATGCAAAGCTAAGGTTTAAACAGTACTTCAAGATGAAGCCGGTGGTCACAGCCCTGCAGATCTCGAAATAGCATCTCTGGCCTGTGAGACCCTGAGCTATTTTTGTCCTTGCTGCGTCCACAGCCCTCGCATCCCCCTCGCCCCTTCCCCACCCCAGCCGGGGGCGAGGGCAGGTCCTGATGGTGGGAAGGTGAAGGAGAGGAACTCTGACCCAGCCACCGATTAAAGGAGACCCTGGACATACCTGAGCCTGGACCATGAGATGCTAGAGAGGACCACGGCCTCAGCGAGGCCCCTGCCTACGCAAGGAAGCCTTACCATCGCCTTAATGCCGAGCCCCGGCTCGGCCCCGGTGCCCGACAGGTCCGTGCTTCGCCGGCACTACTGCTGCTTAGCCTGGCACCCGGTTTGTTCCCTCTGTGCTGTCCCTGAGGGGGGAAACAGGTCCCCCCCCCCCATCTGCTCAGGAGCCCCCCAGAGCTGCCCAGTCGCTTTAGCTGCCCATCACACGTGCTGTGCCCGCCGCCTTTGCTGCTCCCTCCATCCCTTCTTGCCCTTACCTGCTCAGTGCCACTTGGGCTCCCACCCCCAAACCAGCACCTTTCTTGGGTCAGTATTGATCCTGGGGTGTCTCTGAGCATGGCACCCTTCTCCACGAGGGGTGGGTGCTGCTGGGCTGAGCTCAGATGGTGCAGAGCAGCAAGGGGCAGTGGCAGCCATGAGCCACATGAGCTTGGGACCAGTGGGCTTTTGCTGGTGGGCGCAGGCTGCCTGTAGCCCTGTGATGTGCTCAGCCCACGGCTGGCTCTGCTCGTCCCCACGGCCGTGGTGTCCCAGACTCCCATTAGCTCCCTGCTCCCGTCATGGCTTCCTTCGTAGCATCCCCTGCTGCTGGAGCAAGAGGCGCCCAGCTCTGCCTTCCTCATCTCCCCCAGGGCCTGGGAGGGGGCCAGTCCTGCCCCTCGCATGGGCACCATCACTGTGCTCCTCTCCTGGCTGTGTCCCTGCGTGGGACCCCCCACCCCCGGCAGGAGGTTGAACAGAGCTGATCTGCTCCACGAGCCGTGCACAGCTTCATCCCCTGTCACCGCTCAGCAGCTCCCCCCCACTGCAGGCTCTGCGAGGGCAATCCTGACCTGCTGAGCACTATCCAGCTCATGACAGTGCTTGTACATCAGCTGGGGGTGGAATCAGACCGCTCTGCCCTTGCCTTGGCTGCTCGGTGAGTGGTATGGGGACAAGGTGGCCATCCCCTCTGCACTGGCGCAGGAACCTGCTCCAGAAAGATTGGGGACTGTTGTTGCATCTGGTGTTTGGTTTTGGTGCAAAATAAAAGCTGCTGGTAGCTGGAAAGGGGAGGATGGTGGCTCTGTGGGGACTGGTGTAGGACTGGAGGTGCTGGTGGTGGTATCTCCTCCCGGGGTGGGCTGCTGGTGTCCCTCCACGCTCCTGACCTCCCTTCAGGTGCCTGCATGCAGTACTCGCTGCCCCTTCCTGCAGGCACCAACTGCGGGGCTTGTCCTTGTCCCAGGGCAACGTCCTGTGGTTTAGCACAGCTTTCTGCAGAGCTGCTTCCCTCATCTTCCTGGGGGGGCCCCCCCCGGGGCCCTGCTGGGCTCTGGCTCTGGCAAAGGTGGGCTGGACCACTTGGCTGCAGCGGGGACTGGGCAGAGGAGGCTGAACCCCAAACCTGCTGCCATGGGGGGCGAGACCTTGAGGAAAAACGCAAGTGAGAGCGGGAAGGAGAGGGGAGCAGCTCAGGCCCCACCACGGATAGACGGTGCAGGAGAGAGTTGAGAAACAGCACGAGTGAACCCATCGCAGGGAGCAAGAGCTTTAGGAGGGGGCTGTGCTGGGAGAGGGGCAAGAAGGGGGGAAACAAGCACAACCCCATCGGTACTCTGACTGCCTGGGGTGAGAGCTCCCTGTCCAGCCCTCAGCTCTCCCCAACCCCAGGCTGGTAAAGTCCAGACCCAGATCTCTGCTCCAAAAAGTCATCTTTATTGTGCCAAAGGGGGGGCGGGGGGACAATTGTAAACAAGTATGTGAAATATACAGGTTAAGTTACTCATCGTCTTATTAACAAAATAAAGCTCTATCTATATTTACAGTCTTTTTTTTTTAAAAAAAAAAAAAAAAAAACAAAAAAACAAAACAAAAGAAGAGAGAGAGAGGAAGAGCTGCATCTTTGTTGGGCACATCTGCTGCCAGCCCCCTCTGCAGCACAGCCCATCCCACCCTGGGAGCCAGCACCCCTTCCCTAGGGACCCCGGCCCCAGCCAGAGCAGCAGAGGGAGGGGGAATAAATAAAGCACTGACAAAGGGCAAGAGAGGAGAGAGGCGTTTGCTGGGTGGGCGAGGAGGCAGGATGCTCCCTTGGATAAACAATGTCCCCCCAGGGTGCAGGGGAGCAGGACCGGGGCCCTGATGCTGCAGAGCTGCTGCTCTGGACCCCCCCCCACCCTGGGGCTGAGGACATGGGGCTGCTGTAAATGCCCCAGTGCAGGGCTTGAGTGTACCCCCCTCCCCCCCCAAGCCTGGGGCAGCCCTGGCTCCTTCTGCACCCCCCCCAGCAAGGTCCCTGCGGTGCCAGGGGCTGCGGCTGCAGCCTCGCTGCCTGTTTCTGGCTGTTGCCACAGGGCGGTGCACGGACTCTGCGCACAAGCAGACACCGTGCACGTACAGCCAGACACACACCGTGCATGTACAGCCAGACACCGTGCACGTACAGCCAGACACACACCGTGCACGTACAGCCAGACACACACCGTGCACGTACAGCCAGACACCGTGCACATACAGCCAGACACACATCATGCACATACAGCCAGACACACACCATGCACGTACAGCCAGACACGGTGCATGTACAGCCAGACACACAGCCATGCTGCACCCCAGACACCCTCAAGCTGGACTGAGCAGAGAAAGTTGATTTGATTTCCAGCCCCCCCCCCTAAGGATTTCCTTTTTTTTTTTTTTTTTTTTTTCCCTTGATTGCTGTTATTTTTTTCTCCCTCTCTGGTTTTCATATCGCAGCGCACAGGTGGAGCCTGCGGCTTGCAGAGCCGGGGCGCAGGAGGGAGAGGTGCCCACTCTGGGGCACGTACCCACCGCAGCCGGGGCTTGTGCCCAGGACAGGGGCCGGCGGAGGGATGGGGTGACAGCGCAGCCAGGGAACAGGCACCCGCTTTATTTACAAAGTGGGCCAGAGCTGTCAGGAGCATAAAGGGCTCCTCGGAGCCCTTGGCTGGTACTCGGGCCAGGCGAGAGCTAAAAATGGCTCCACGGGAATGTTCTGGCAGGCTCTAAAGACCAAGTGGGAAATGCGTCGGGGAGGTCAGGCAGGGCTGAGCGAGGGACAAGCGTGTCCCTGTCCCCTGTCCCCAGCAGCGGGAGCTGGCAGCTGCAGGTGAGGTTCTCTGCAAGTCACCCGTGGGTGCTGCTGGAGGGCTGGGAGATGCTCTGGAGGTTTTCCCACCCCCCCCGATACCCTCAGGTACCTCCTGGGGGGCTGCAGGGGGGTGACAGAACAGCGGCGGTGGCACCCACATCCCCGGGCCAGGTGGCTTTAGCTCCCCATGCCTCTGCCACCAGAGTAAGGCTGAGCCAGCCCACGGCAGCTTGCCCAGTGGGGTCAGCACATCCCAGCCCTGGGATGTCAGTGCTCATCACCCCCCTCACACCCCCCCGGGGAAGCACCCCACCCAAAATGCTGGGGTGCTCACCTTCGTGGGACCCCTTTGCAGGCAGGCAGGCAGCGAGGTAGCAGCTCTCCTCTGCTCCCAGCACAGCCCTTCGGCCAAGTCCCATCCCATCGTGGGGGGATGCTGTGACCTCCTTTTTGGTGGCAGCCAGCCCTGCCACCCCCCCAAACCCTCTCAGCCCTCCCCCCACCCCCCCCCCCCCCAGCTCCCTCGCCCTCAGTCCGTCAGCACCACCAGCTCGCCGTCACTTTTCTCCTCGCCCTCCGAGTCCTCCTCCTCGCTGTAGCGGTACATCTCCCCGTCGGCCACCGAGTGCCCGTCGTCTCCGCCGTCGCTGTCCTTGAGGCTGCGCGTGTTGACGATGACAGGCATGCTGGGGTCCACGCTGCAGGGCAGGTAGTGCTCCATCACGGGGGACGTCAGCTGCATGCCCACCGGCTGCTGGTACAGCACGTCCGAGGAGGCGGGGGGCACCTGGCTGCCCTGGGGCCTGCGGGACAGGGGAATGCACTCATCAGCCGAGGCATCGAGGTGCTCCCCTTGCCTCCCCCCCACCTCTCAAGGCACCCACCCCGCGGGCGAGCCCCCTCAGACGGGAGGAAGGGGCGCGTTACCCTATCAAGTAGCCCTGCCTGGCGTCCTGCCGCCGGTTCCTCATCAGCGCCTTGTACTCGCCGACGCGCAGCCGCTTCCCCTCCACGATGCAGGTACGTTTGGGTCGGGGCTTGTACTTATAGTCGGGGTATTTCTCCAGGTGCTGCCGGCTCAGCCGGGCTTGCTCCTCGTAGTAGGGCTGCTTCTCCTGGTTCGTCATGGACTTCCACCGGGAGCCTGCGTGGAGAGGAGCCACGGGGCACGCTTACACCCTGCCTGCTGTGACGAAACCCACGCCTGCTCCCAGCTGGGAGAGCAATCACAAGAGTTAATGAACGCTCATAACCATCCCCTGAATTTGCACGCAGGTGGTGAGCGCAGCTGCACAGGTCAAAGCCCTGTGCTGCAGAGAGCAACCAGCCCTCCCCGCACATCAGGAACAGGTCCCCAGCCCTGACCTTCCCCTGGCACCTCTCGGGCCACGGCTTTCCAGCCCCTCCAAGGTACGGGGAGCAGGTGCTGCAGCTAAAATAGGCTGTGCCGGCGTGTGACTCACATTCCCCCACTGGCTGACCTTTATTGTCATTGCCACCAACACCCCGGGCAGGAGGGCAAAGCCGGGCACAGCACAAAGGCTGCTGGGCTGCGAGAGGGGCTCGGGGCCAGGTTGGTGGAGAGAAGGGATTAATCCCCACAGCTCAGCACCTGGGAGGCTGCAGCCAGACCAGCGTCCAGTTTGGGAGAAAGATGGACAAGCTGGAGATATCTGGAGATCCTCAACATCCTTGGAGATGTTCAACAGTCAACATGACACAGCCCTGAGCATCCTGCTGGGATTATGGAGTTAGCCGGGCTCTGAGCAGGGCTTTGGGCTGGGGAGCTCCAGAGACAGCCCCCCCTCACCTAAATGCTCCTGTGACTCCCCACATTCCCCTTTCTCAGGTGTCCTTCACCCACCAGCGTGGCCCAGTTCCCTCAGGGAGCTCCACCTCCCACACCCGTACCACGAGCCAGGTGGCCCAGGTAAACTGAGGCACGGAGGCATGCGAGCCCTTTGCCCACACTGTCCTCCACCAGTTCCTTCCCCACGAGCTCAGTCCCTTGCACTGGCTCAGACTCACATTTCAGGAACCAAACCCCCCCAGGCTGGGTGCATACCGCCTCTGGACCACTCGTCCATCTGCAGGTCTCCACCTGCTAAATTCGCACCCCTCGAGCAGCGAGCGGCCCCAGCTCGCTGGGCAGAACCCCACCAGCTATTTAAAGCCACGGACATCTACCGTGACAGCAAGCAGCTCACCGCAGCACGCCTGCTCCTGGTCCCCTTGCCCCCCCCAGCCACAAGAGGTAAGCGGAGCAGATCCTGCCCACGCGTTCCTTCAAAGGGAAAAGCTTGGCGGTTGCCTCGGTTTTGTTTGGTTTGTTGGTTGTTTTTTTTTTTTTTTGTTTTTGTTTTTGTTTTCCCTTTCATGAGCAGAGCTGCTAAAACGAGCCCGTGGCAGAGCGAGGTGCAGGTGTTGGAGGGAACCCACGGCACGGCCGCATTGCACCGCTGCACGCTCACTCCCGGCCCTTTGGACGGGCTCGCTGGTGACCACACCGCTCGCTTTTAATAGCGACGTGGCCGTGGGGAAGGGCTGGGGCGACCAAGAGCCTCAGCAGGACCACTGCTGTCGGCGGGGCATGGGACATTGGCTGGATGAGGCCCACGCTGCTACAGGCGCCTCCAAGAGAGATGCTACAACAGGGGGTAGCATCATCCCGATGGGCATCACCCCGACGCGGGTGGGTGAGGACAAGCGGAGCGAGCAGCGCTTCTCCCCGCTCCACGGGGAAGCAGAGAGGGGGGTGTCCTCCTCCAACCCCCCGCCACCAGCCCCCAGCACTCACCCAGGATCTTGCTGATGCTGGAGTTGTGCATGTCTGGGAAGGCTTGCAAAATCTTCCTCCTCTCATCCTTCGCCCACACCATGAAGGCGTTCATGGGCCGCTTGATGTGGTTGTTGTTCCTGGACTCGGGGAAGTGCCGTGAGCCTGCGAGGGAAACCCTGGCTGAGGTCAGGAGCCAGAGGAAGAAGCAAGCTGGGGAGGGGGTCACACTGCGATGCTTTCAGCCATCCTTACCATCCATCTCACAGGTCAACAGAGCCTCGTCCAGCCGGTGGGCAGGGGTCTCCTCCATCCGCTCCTTCACTGGGGAAGAATCAATCCCGACGTGGTCCTGTGGGAGAGCGGAGAGTCGGGAGCCGGGCTCCAAGCCAAGGAGCCCGCCCGTGGGTGCAGTCCCAGCTCCGGCTGCTGGCAGTGGGGTCGGAGAGGGGGACGGTGACGACCCATCGGGCACCCCCTCACCTTGCGGTAGGGGTGGCTCAGCGATCCCTCCATGGCTCCGCTGTGGCCGTGCAGCAGCTGCCGCGCGTCCTGGATGGCTTTGGTGATGGCGTCGCCTTCGCCCAGAAACCCTGGCAGGACAGCGGCACGGGCACCCATCAGCACCAGCACCCGCTCTTCTGGCACCCCACCCCACCCCTGCAATCACAACTGAGGGCCCCAAACGGGTGGCACAGAGCAGAAGGTGCCCACCCAGGTCACCCCGGGGGGAGCAGAGATGTCCCCTGTCTCCGGGAGGTGGCCAGGGGGAGGGCACGGGACCATCCATCAGTGAAAGCACTTGGGGACCCACCCAGAGGCAGGTTGGACGGGCTGGTCTGCAGGTCCCTGGTGGCCCCGTGACTCGGCGTGAGGGACTGGCAGCTGCTTAACTTCAAACTGGGCGAGCTGGAGGCACTGGGGAGGTCGGAACCTTTGGGTTTCGCCGTCAGGTTCAGCGGCTGTGAGGTCTCCTGCGACAGAGGGGAGGTGAAGGCGAAGCGCAGCCCCTCCGGCACCCCAGTCCGGGGGATGGAGGTGCTTTGGGGCTGTACCTGCATCTGGAGGTGGCCCGAGCCGGCGGGTCTCTTCAGCGTGGGAGGAGGGGGGCTGTGCAGCAGCTGCACTGGGTATTCCACTGCGGGGAGCAGAGGGAGAGGGGTTGGGGGACAAAGCCACCCCACAGGGTTGGGGCAGTCCCCGGGGGACTCCGCTCACCTGGTTTGCAGGGGATGGGCTGGATGGGCAGCGCTAACTGGGAGTCAGGAGCGACAGGGAGAGGTTGGTGGCTGGGGGTGAAGGCGGGAATCATGACATAAGGCATGTTGACCTGCTGGAGGGAAGAGGGGGAGAGAAGCAGAGAGACCAGGTAACCGCTGCGGGATACGGCAGGTGGGTGCCATCCCCTTGCCCAGCCCCGGGAGGGGGCACAAGCCCGGCAGATGAAGGGGCTGCAATCACCCAGCCCCGGGAAGGGGGACACAAGGAGGTGTACCCCCACCTTTACCTGGATCTGTTGCTGCAGCAGGTTGATTTTGTGCTGCTGCTGGATGAGCTGCTGCTGCTGCTTGGCAATCTGGCAGAGGGGAGACAGCAAGGCTCAGCGGCATCCAGGGCAGCACCGAGCTGGCCCCGGCGGGGCTACAGCCCGGCATGAGCTGCCCAACAGCAGCAAAACGGAGATGAGGGGGCTGCAGAGGGTCCTGAGGACCGTGGGGAGGGCTGGCAGGGGGTGGCTGAGCTGCCCCTAAGCCACCTCGAAGGGCACGGGGAGAGAAATGGGCTAGGAGGGACAGTGTCACCCCCACCCTGGGGTATGCTGGGGGTGTCACCCCTGCCCTTAGCATCATATTGGCCACCGGAGAGGAAAAATAGGTGTTCAAAGAGCAAAGAGAGCACAGTCAGGAAGGACCCAGTGCGGTTTAATTATTTTAAGGACTGCAATTCCCATCTCCTTTCGCCCTTGTCCTCCCAAGCGCCATGGAGCAAGATGGGGAGTCTTTTAGGATGGACACAGTAAACAAGAGGGTTTCAGTGAAGTCCCTCTGCCCCTCGATGCCAAAGCCACCTCCTCACCACTCCCAGGGGGACCTGTCCTGATCCTGCACCCGCAGCCAGCAGATCCCAAAGGGATCCCTAAAGGGAAGGACAGGCCCTGGCAAACGTTTCCCCCGAGCAGGTTGCCCACTGGGACCCGAGCCCACCTGCTCTTGCTGCTGCCGTGCCAGCTCCATCTGCTGCTGCTGCTTCTCGAAGAGCATCGCGGCCATGTTCTTCTGCTCCGAGTGGGCTGTCAGGAGCTGGTCCCGCAGCGTGGACAGCTGGTTGATCATGACAAGTAACTGGAGCTCCTTCTCTGCCAGGCTCTCCTGGGTTCCTGGAAGAAATCTGCGGGTTAGCGGCTTGGGGAGGGTGAACAGCATCACCACCACCGGTGGGTGCTGGTGGGCGATGCATGGGGAGCATAAAGATGCCCATGTGCTGAACCATCCCTTCTGTGCAGAGGGCAAGCTCTCACCGGGGATGCTCACCCCCCACATAAAAATCAAATTAACATTTTGGTTAAAAAAACCTACAAAACCCTATTAAATACACACACTTGCAGGCATATCTCCTCTCCTGTGGTGGGAAATGCTGTGTTTCCAGCCCAGGCTGCCCGGGCACAGGGTACAGGAGGGAAGACAGGGCGAGAACCTCACCTTTCACTTCCTTGGACTCGGCAGTGTTTCGGCCCAGCAGCCGCTCCTTCCAGTCACTGGACAGTAACTTCTCGATGGTCGGCATCACTGTCCGCACCGGCAGGGACAGGGAGAGGACAGCCAGGTGAGCACAGCCTGAGGCTCCGCACCATGGCATGGGGTGGCTCATCCCATCCCACACCTTTGGAAAAAATACTGAGGGGGGCCCAAAAGGAGTGGGGAGCGGGTCCAAGAGGCCACTCGGAAACCTTTCTTACCCTCCTTCAAGTTCTTGTTGAAGTCCAGCTTCTCCTGGCCACTGACGGCCGGCTCGAAGGCAGAGCGCCTGGGCTCCAGCGCATCGCCGGCGGGCGAGCGGGATTCCTGTGACACACACAGCGTTACTCAGCTCCCGCTCCCACGGACGGGAACGTCCCCAGGTCTCGGGGCAGGACATGCTGGGCCAGTGGGATGCTTTGAACCAGCCCAGCCGACTGCCGGGCCGCACTCTGACAGGCACCTTGCCCCCCACCCAGCTTGAGAGCATCGTTGCTCTTCACGCCATAAAGACTTGTTTGCTGGATGCTTCTACTATTTATTTAGACTGCCCGCCTCCTCTGAGCCCTGTCCCCCCTGGGAGGCTGCACAGCGAGCAGGAGGGCTGAGGCTGCTGGTCACGGGGAGAGAAAACCCAAGAGCAATTAAAAAGGGAGGCTGAAAACACAGAGGATGCCTGGAAGTGGCTGTGGGAGGGCTCCACACTGAAGGCGAAGCACTCAAATCCCAGGGCTGACCCGAGAGCATCAACAACGGCCAGAGAGCCTTGGGGAAGCCTCAGGTTTCAGCTTCATTTCCTCGGGATGAGGAATAATCACCCAGGGAAATAGCAACCCCCGCCTCTGCCAGGAGACAGAGCCCAGGTCCGGAGCTGGGATGGCTGCGATGCTCTGCCAGCCCGGCGGGACCCCGGCCAGGGCCAGTGTTTGTCACAGCCACGGGACCCACCTGTGGCAGGGCCTGGGGGTCGGTGCCCTCCCTCGGCGGTGGCCCCGGAGGGTCATTGGGACGGGGTTCGGTGCTGGGGGCAGCCCCCGGCGGGGACTCGTAGCTGCCCTCCTTCTTCTCCTCTGTCTTGATGCTGCAGTTCACCATGCTGCCCGCTCCATTGAGCTCCAGGTGGGGAGAAACAGGGCTCCTCATGGACATCCTAAGGGGTGACAGGGACATCAGCAGAGCCATGGGGCAACCCCCCTGGCCATGGGCACCCTTTTTCCCAGCCTGGCCCTGTACTGCTGTTTTCACGGAGGCAGTGGTCTCGCTTTTTTTGCCGTGGCTTGGTGAAGCTGAGCTCTTGGTTCCTGGCTTTCTGCACTCAGGTTTTTTCAGATTTGGGACTAGATGGCCAGAAGGGAAACAAGCCCTTCCCACTTTGGGCTGTGAAGGGAATGGAGCAGCAAAGCAAAGCCCTAAAGAAAGCGACCTAGAGGGATGGGATTTAGGGCCCACAGGAGCACGTGCCTTTGTGCTTCACCCAGCAGCCTGGCAGAGAGCAGCCCACGGCTCACCGCGGCAGAGAGCCGTGCCAAACCCGAGCCAGCACCCCAGGGGTCCCCGGCTCTCGGCTCACGAGCTGCTCCCCCCCCCTGCACCGCCCCAGAAGCCGTCCCTAGAAAGCTGGCAGGGCGGCAGGCAGGTTTCCCGCTCCGACGGAAATGGAAATCCTGGCCCCACCGAACAATGGCTGGGACGGCCACCAGAATCGCTCCTCCGGGAGTCCCCGGCACGGCGCAGGGCTGGGACCGGCCAAGCCCCAGCCAGAGCAAAGGGCTGGCCCCAGAAAAAGGCTCTCCCTGCCTTCACCAGCACGGCCACGGGTGCCAGTCCAACTCCCAGTGCTGCCAGCCGCTCGCCGGACACCACAGAAGTGGCAGCGAGCTGTGATGTGTCCCTCTGTCACCTCTGCAGCCGTGCTCGCAAGGATTTGCCTTCTCAGGGCCAACAACACTCACGCTGCACAGCAAGAACAGGAACAAATATTACCTTCCCGAAGCTCACTTTCCAGGGAGGAATAATGGGAAAAAGGAGGCTGTTAAGGAAGGGATATTCACCGGCCACTGCTGGGAGCCAGAATCCGGGTTGAGGGACCACAGGGGCTGCTGAGGTGGGAAGGGGAGAGCATCCTGCCTGAGCTCTGGCACCGCACAACCAGGACCCCAGTGCTCTGCTCCCTCTCGCCTCCCCACATCCCAGTGGCTCGTCAGGACCACCCTAAATCAGGGCTGGGGCTGTGAGCTGGGGAGGGGGGTGCTGAGCCGGGCTGCCCAACTCAGGGCAGCAATTACATAACAAACAAAGCCCAGCTCAAGCTGCGAATTAATCAAACCGCTGAAAATAAAACCTTCCTCTCAGGAACTTCAAACAAAAGAAACGAAAACAACAAGGCCGGCTGGGTAATGAAAAGCCAGGGCTGTGAATAGGGGACAAAAGGAAGTGGAACAATAGGGTGTTGGACAAAAGCAATAAAGTAAAGGGAAGTGTGACAGCTCCACAATAGGGCACTGTGCGCGCCAGCCTTTCTGATCTTAGCGGGGCTTTTTTTAATCTCAGTTCCCTTGCCCTCCGCCGAACAAACCATCGCACTCACCGGGCCGGCGGGCTTCCTCCCGCCGTCGGCATCGCCCGGTATCTGCCGCATCCTGCGGCACCGCCCGCGTCGCCCCTTCCTGCCCCCGGCTCACCTTGGCCAGCCCGCTGGCAGGGAGGGCAACCCGGGCACGGCCAGCAGCCACCCACAAACCCACCGCCAGCCTTCGGCACGCCTCGGCCGGGGAGGAAGGAACCGGCCCCGCTCGGCGGCGGCGCGGTGATGGCAGGCAGCCAGCGGGAAGCCGTGCCCACGGCTCTGCCAACTCCAGCAACCCACGGGGGGTAGGGTTTGCCCCACGAGGCTGCCCCGGAGCCCGTGCTCTCAATGTGCTACAGGTGGGGAAACTGAGGCACCAACGCACGGCACCTGCAGCACCTTGCTCCGGGCGCTTTCCTAACTCAGGACCTGCAGGTGTGGGTGCACAGCTGCTCCCTCCTTCCAGCCTTATTTGTTTGGGTTTGGTTTTTTAAAGGAAAAAAAAAAAAAAAAAAAAAGCCCTGCTCAGCGCATCCCTGTTACAGTTTGCCCCCTCTCCCTGCAGCTGGGATGCTGCCCAGCCCGGGGCAGCCCAGGCGGTGGGGCAGCAGCAGTAACGCTGCAGCACAGAGCGATGCCACCGGTTTGAAACACGCACAAAAGCAAAGTCCCACTCCTCCAGCAGGTCACATTCCTATTGTACTTCACCTCCCAGTGCCACTGGAAGTTTACTCTTAAAACGGGGACAGTACTTTAATAGGGGCCTGTTTGAAAGGGGCTTCATTGTGGATTTATTATATGGTTTGCTGAACAAAAAAAAAAAAAAAAAAGAGAAGAAAAAGAAGAAAACGGCGCCGTTATCTTGTTACAGGTTCCCGCGGCAGCCCTGTGCTGTGGGCTCAGGTGCTGGGCTCCGGGGCTGCCTGGGGCAGACAATAGGGATGGGAACAATTGCCTTGGCACAGGGAGTGTAACAGATCTTCGCCTTTAATGTTTCCCATTTAACACAGGGCGTAGGGGAAGTGAGGGAATGGCGTTGAGATGTGACAGTGCCAGCCTGGAGGACCAAAACGGATCCGCCGGGAAGCCACGAGTCCTCGGTGAGGGACCCGGGACCCATGAGGCTCCTTCCTCCCGGCACAGCATTTTGTGGAGCAGGAGTGGGGCTCATCTCACAAGCACCAAAGCCCTAAAATGCCCATACTGTGCAGGCACCACTGTGCTCACCTTTCCTCCAAACTCCAGCCCGGCAAGTCCAAGAGCTGAGATTTTTGGGATGGCGACAGCTTTTCTTTCTCCATTTGTGTCCCTAAACGGCACGTCCTGCAATTCTCCCCGTGGCCGTGCCACCCTTCCTGCCTGCCAGCCGATCCTATCTGCCCCATTTGTATGGCAGCAGACCAGCTCGAATGGCCAGGGGGGCCGAGGTGCCAGCAAGCCCCCACCCTGCCCAGCACCGCAGCAGCTCGGGGAGCACCGGCGAGATGCCAAGACCACCCCCCCCCCGGCACCCAGAGCATCTTCCCGATCACCTGTGCGGGCTCTGGCTTTGCAGAGAAGGGGGGTGCCGGCATCACCCCCCCACCATCACAAAGCAGGAAGGGGAAGAAAAGCCCAAAAACTCCCTGGCAAAGGTGTGGTGCTGGCTGGACCAGGCTTTCTCCTGGCAGCAGATCCTGCCTGCAGTCATAAGAAAAGGGTTTCTGCTCGCAGGGTGGCTGGAGGGGAAGGTTGGCAGGCGAGACTGCCCGAAAGCAGGGCGAGGTCTGCCTGGGGCTCAGGCAGGGAAAAGCAGGTGCTGAGGTTAGGTGAAACCCAAGCTTTTTGCAAAGACACAAGGGAGCGCAGGAGCCCAGAAAGCCACAAATACACAAAGTCTCCTGCGCTGCCGGGGTGCAAGGAAGAGCCGCTCACCGGTCCTGGGAGAGGATGCGAGTGCAGGAATGGTCCCACACCCCTGCCCCGTGCCGCAGCGTGGCCTGTCTCGGGGCTAATCCTGCCCCTCGACTCGGGGCTGATCCCACCCCAGGGGACAGCAAAGGGCTCCTGCAGAAGGGGAACTCAGGGAGAGCAGCCAGAGGTTGGCTGGGGGAGCAGGGCTGCCCAGATTTTTGAGCTGATCTTGCCCCCGCCTGCCCATCAGGTTGACCAGGGCAGCAGGGGAAGTTCGTGGGGCTTTTGTTTTCCTCTCTTTCCACAGTTACAGCAGAGAGCTGTCAGCTCATGCGTTACGACAGACTCGTCCCTTCAGGAGCCCAGTGTGGTACCCAGCCCTCCCCCGACAAATCCACCCGTCCGAGCAGCACGCGGCCACTCGTCCCACAGCCACATCCTCCCACCATGGTCCGGGTAACCAACCCAACCTGGGGAAAAACACACACGGCAAAAACCCGAGGGGGGAAAACACTGTAGGAGCAAACACAGTGATGCCGACGAGCACCGGGGCAGCACGACACAACCGTTGTGCACGCACCAGCCACGTGCAGCGTTCACAGCCCCCGGCACCCCCTCCAGAGAGAGGGTAGAGGAAAAAATAAGGCACACACGGACGTTTTCTTCTTCCAAGCAGGACCCAAGGAATCCCGGCCGGCCACCGGCACAGACAATAGCCCATCTCCTGCCAGACGAGCGGGCCGCTTTCCTGCCAGACTTGGAATGTCCTTTCGGAGCTGTTTCCAACTGTTTCCGCCCGGCGTGCCTTCGCACATAAAAGAATGGATGGCTTCCTCCGCCGTGCCCGGGCAGGGATGGCCAGGGACAGCCGAGGCGAATGGCCCCGGCTGGGGGAAGTTCACGGAGCTGCCATCCCCTCCCTGGGGATGCAGAGCATCCCGTGACAGTGGGTTATTCCCTGGGAAGGCGAAAGCAGGCGGCTGCGGGGGATGCACCCCCAGCCGTGGATGGACGGGGACCGCCAACACGTTGGCTACGCGCTGCAGGTAAAACGGGGCAGAAAGCGCCAGACCTCGAGGTCTCCTGCTTCCGAAAAAAAGCAGGTTTTAAACCCAGAAGGCATCTGGACGCTGAACGCATTTGGGCCCAGAAACGCTGTCGCCACGCGAGAGCCACGGCTCCACGTGTCCCGGACGGACAGCAGCCACTCAGATCCGTGGCTCGTGGGACACGTGTCCCCCCACGGGGCTGCGTCACAGGCGCGCACCCACCCGTGCTGCCCCACAAACCAGGGTGCTGCAGCAACGGAAACGCTCCGCGTTTTGGGGGGGGTGGTGTGGGGGGGTTGGGGAGCGCCAACCAACGCTTTACGCATCCTCCAATGCCGCGTTTTCAACATCTTACCTGTCAGCGGCGCTCCTACGGAAAGCCGCAACCTCCATCTGCCCAGAAGGCTGCTGAGAGCTCAGGTTGCCGGAAAAGCTGCAAAATCAATGCCGAGAAGGGAGATCTTTGGCAGGCGGGGAGGGGGGATTTGGCGAGGGTAATGCCCCAAGGGGCAGAGGGGCAGCAGTAAGCGCCCAGCAAGCGCAGAGCTGTGCAGCAGCCTGGCACCTGCGTGCTAAAACCTGCCACGGGCAGGATGATGCCCACGTGAGGTGCCGGGCACGTCCTGCCCAACAGTAGCTGACGGCTGCTTCGCCATCTCAGAGGGACCCCCCCCCAGACCCCAACTGCCCCTCTCCACCCTGGCAAGACTTGGGGTCCCATGGGGAAATCTCTGGCATCAGCAGGAGCTGGGATTTCCCACTGTCCGCACAAAACAGACTGGTCTTTGTCCAACCTCCATCCACCAGCAGTTCCCCGAAGGCAATTTCTCTCCCCCCAGAAGGATAATGGTGCCCAGAAGCATCTCTATGGGGTCAGAGCAAAGGGTGATGCTCTGGTGAGAGCGCCGGCATCACGGAAATTCCCAGGAATGGCTGGCGCAGGAGTTAGGGGGTCACCCCTCTGCACGTGCTGCCCCGAGCACCCCATTTTCCACCCAGGTTCCCTCTGTCCCCTCGCCAACAGGCATGGGACCCCCATCCTGGTGCCCCGCCACGTGGGGATATCTCCTCTTCACCCTTGGATGAGTTCCTATTGCTGCAGCCTCAGCGCTGCCACGTTACGGCTCATTTTTTGCGGCGGGGGGGGAAGCATCAATTCACCATCTACTAAGATGAAAAGCAGTGATGCAGGTCTCCTATTACTGCACGGCACTTGGAAGATTTAACCCTAAAGCAATTACAACCAGCTAGCAGAGCATTTACTAATTCTACCCCCAAAAAAACCCAACCTTCCTTCTTCAAAGGCCTCCGAGCCGTAGCCAGGACTGCTAATGAAATGCATATCTCTCTGATGCATGCCAGCAGAGAAGCCCTTCAGAGGTTCGGGGGGAAATCAAATCAATCCTGCTATTCAAAACTTGAGAAGTGGGAGAAAATAACCCGTATTAATTGCTAAATTCACTTAAGTGAACACTTGCAAGACAGGGAAAAGAAGATGAATTCTCAGGCTGTGGCAGGGGGGAAGAAGAGGATCTGGGTTGTTCAGCAGGGTGGCTATATGTCCTCCATCACCTATGTACACCAGAGGATCCCAGCTCTGTGTAGGTTGTCCCAGGCCAAAGGCTCGTGCGGGCACTAAGCTACAGCAGATCGAGTCCTTAGGGGGCAGCTCAAGTCCACAGAGTCCCGGCTCCTGCTTTTCTAAATCTCATGGACTAATAATCTCACTTGCCGAAATCCAGCTCACCCCCTCGGGGGTTGTGCCCTGCCCCTGCCACCTCCCCGCAGCGCCGGGGCCCGCTCCGAGGGACCGGCCAGACCCAAGGAGGGGGTGATGGACCCGGCCACGCAGGGTGCTCCGGGTGGGAGCAGGAAAACAAAGCCTCCCGTGATAACGAGACGAGCACAACATATTCCCTGGGGGTACCTGGCTCCACTTGATCCAGCCTGGTGCACGTTTTAACCCGGCCACGTCCCAGCCTCCTAATGCCCCCTCTCACTAACAATTTCCAGCTTACTGCTAACTCATTTCATAGGGTTTCTGCGGCGGCTTTTGTCACCTTGCTCTGGTTTCTTACAAGATGGCAGAGGGACGCATTATTGCAAAATGCTTTCCTGTCTTGGCATAAAGGATTACTCAACTGCTCCCCGCCTGTGCTGCTCCCCCCCAGCATGGGGGCTTTGCTGGGACCCCCCTCCACTACCCGGCCGTGCCTCTGCAACCCAAAATCCAGGGATGCTGCCTCCCGTGAGCCTGGCTGTGTCAGGATGCAGACAAAAACCGGCCAGTAGTTTTATAACTATCCAGATAATGAAATCAAATACAAAGAGGAGGTCTGATCCTTCCCTGGGTGTAAACTGGCACAGGTCCACCACCTTCACAGCCGCAACCCAAACACATTTTTCCTTTACTGGGATGAGCGATAGGACAGTTTTAAGTAGGGGAAAAATTAAACTGAACCTCAGGTGGAACTTCCTGGCTGCGAGATTTATTAGTCGGGGAATGATCTCATCAGGGAAACGGAGGAAACTCCGTCGCGCTGGAATTATCTAAAACCGTGCAAAGCTCGGAGGAAGAAGGCACGGGAACAATCCCAGCGACGGCCCACGTGATGGCCGGGGACCACGCTGGTCATTCCCGTTTCCTGGCCTCAAGACTAGACAGTCTGCAGGATGGTTTGGATTTTTTCTTCCACACAATAAGACATATCAATAAGGAAAAAACTCCTTGTCCCGTCTCCGGCTTTGCAGGCAGATGGATTTTTTTTTTGTCCAGGGAAGGTGTTGAAAGCATCTTTAAGAAAAGGGCTGGCAGCTGGGGGGGTGCAGGCGTGCAGAGGGGGGAAGGGGATGCTGAGCCAAGGCGAGGGCCTTGCTCAGGTCCAAGCGGCAGCACAGGCAGGGACGGCCGGGGACAAGTGCTGAAAGAAGCAACTCCCCTTCCCTGCAGGTCTAAACTCTCCAGGGAAAAGCGCAAACCCCACAGTCTAAATATTTTCAGACTCCCTTCTTATTGCACCCCTTTCCTCTGCCCTTCCTATCTTCTCCTGCATTACAGGCTGCTGAAACACAGAGATATCGCAGCGTGCTAGCAAGGGAAGCATGAGGAGGGTGGAACTCTCAAGAGCAGGTATTTACTCTTTCCTATTTTTTTTTTTTGCAACAGAAATAATTTTAACAACAAGTTTTCTCCTTCGCACACGGCTTCATCGGGATGCAAAAAAAAAACCCTGCCCAGCTCACAGGTGCCGAGCCTTCACACCAGCACCTGGGGTGGCTGGATCAGGCCCACGGTCCCACTGGTGCCAGCGGCAGCCGACAGTCCCCGGGGTTGGTGGGAGCTTGGGGGAGCTGCCAGGTCCCTCGGACCCGGACAAGGTCCTTGGGGCTCCCCCCAAACCCCCTCCCACCACCCCAGCACAGGCTCTCCCCATCTCCCCAGTTTAACCAATTTTCCACAAATGATCAATTCCGAAAAAGAAATGTTTCAAATCCGCAAACCCTGAGCGAATGAAGAAAGATGTAGCCCCGTAGCAAGAGGCCAGCAGAGCTGGGAGGCAAAGGACAGGGACAACTCACCCAGCCCCGGCGGGACGGCGCGGCGATGCCGGCACGGCACGGCACAGCACAGTGAGGGAGCGCGGTTAGCACATCTCCCTCCTTTTTCTTTGCAGTTTCTGTCCTTCCCTCACCCAAAAGCGGCCCTCGGCCTTATCGGAGAGGCCAATCTCAGTGTCGTTTTTGTGTAATTTCACTCACTCAGCGTTTCCAGGCAGAGCGGAGGGCACGTTTGACTCGGCTGCTTCGTAAACAATACTTTCCTATCGCATGACGGAGGGGCGAAGACATCTGACCCTTTTCCTCTCCTGCTTAGAAGAGAAAAAAAAAAAAAAAAAAAAATACACAGGGCTCACCCGCCTCGACAGTGATCTGCCCTGCATCTCCCGGGTCGGGGCTGCGGAGAGGGCAGCACTTTCCCAACCCCTTTTCCACACACTGTGCCACAGGGCAACCATGGGCGAGGTTTGTGGCACAGGACCTGGTGTGATTTCGGCACAGCCCCGTGGTCCATCCCATGGCAGCCCACGGCATCAGCCGGTGTCTGTCACCTCCTACCCCTCTTGAGCTTCTCATGGCATTTTACACCTTCCACTATGTCACTATTTTTCCAGCTGCCCCCAGGTTTTGCGGGGCCTCCCATTTATGAGGGGCAATCCCATTTTGTTTGCACTCATGTTCCCCCGGGTGAGCCGGGCACACACACGAGCACTGAAAGGATGCCTGGAGCCAGCCTCAGTGCCCACATGGCACTCAAGCCCACGGTGGCAGCCAAAAATCCTGGGGACACACTTCCACCCACAGTGCCCCACGTCCCACAGCCAGCAGCACCCCAGAAACCTTCGGGCTCCCCTTGCGCGGGATCCTGAGCTGCAACAAACAGCTCCTTACACCCGAGCTGTCGCATGCTTGGACACAGAGGGACAAAGGCTCTGTGGAGCCACTTTGCCCTCCCCAGCTGCTGCCCAAATTCAGGGCAGGGGGAAGCTCCAGCTGCTGGGGCCATTTGACATTTCAGCAACAGATTTTCTTTTTTTCTTTTTTTTTTTTTTTTTTTTTGCTGGCGTGACGGGAGCTGCCTTGCAAGCCGTCAGGGCCATCGTCAACCTCCCTCTGAAAGAAAAGGCAGCCTGAAGGACGGGTGCTTGGTGCCAGCAGCCGTCCATCATCTGCCCCAAATCATCACACCCTCACTAACAGCAACCCTGACTCCGCTCCTGCTGTGCTTCGGCTCAGGAGAGTCATGGCTGGCTGAGTCTGGATGAAGAACCCCAAGGAAAACGCCTTCAGCCTGACTTCTCCCCCTTATTAGCGTAAGCCACGGCTATTTTCACGGTGTTACCCCTGATTTAGGGAGTGGATTCAGGTGTCTGTGTTCAGGGTTTAGGAGGTAGCTCACCCCCCACCCTCCCCGTTGCCCTGCACCCCACGGGTGAGCCACAGCATCCTGCAGCAACGGGGCTCGCAGCCGGCCACGTTAACTGCACGGGTCTCCCAAGAGAGAAACTGCAGGAGGGAGGAGCGGGGGTCAGGTTTGTGCCTTTTTTATTACTACCATTATTTCATTTTAGGGAGAAACCCGAAGCTTTGGGGAGTGGGGGACACCCCCCACCACCCCCACCAGCTGCAGGACCCAAGGGATCCAGCACCAGCGACCCTCCAAACCACGACCATCCCCCAAGGCTGGGCTCGCCCCTCACCCCTCACTTCGGAGGAACTAAAGCCCCTGAAATCCTGGTCGTGCAGCAGCTCCTGGCCGGGCTCCTCTCCTCCCGGGGGAGCAGAAAAATTTGGGAACAAGCTTTTACTGGCCCACCAGGATAGTTTTCATTGCACAACATAAACACAGCACAGACAAGGGCCGAGGCTCTCCAGCAAGAAGCCAACAGCCCTCCCCGTTTGCAAGGGGGTATCCAACTGCCCCCCGCCAGCCTGGGGCTCCCCGCGTCCCGCAGCACACGCCAGTATACAAGGGGCTCTTTGTGCCCGGTGGCACCTGTCCCCCCCGCCCCACCCCGCTGTATCCCAATTTCCCTTGGGGGTCCCCAAGCCTGCTCCCTCCAGCGAGGGGCTTTGGCAGCTCCTGCCTCCACGTGCCGTGTCCCGGCGCGCTCCCCCGCGCGGGTGGGCAGGCAGGGACACGCAGGAGCACCCCGCTGTGCTGGCGGCGCTGGGAGCCCCATGGGGACGGGTCAGCCTTGCTTTGCCCCCCCTAAGCGAAGGAAGGAAGAAGGCTGTAAGGGACCGTGGGGCTGTGGTTTGCAGAGCTGGCTTCAAGAGCTCGCAGGGCTCTTGCTCCGCGCTCCCCTGGGCTGTGCCGCTTTACACCAAGAGCCACGGCCGGTACCCAGCCCCCAGTACCAGCTTTACTTGAAATCACACACACACACCACCCCACCCCACCCCCCTCCCTCAGCTGCAAAAATGCACATTCCCCAACCCAGTTCTCAGGACAGACCCACGGATCCGAGGCGGCCCAAAGGCCAGTGTTGCACCTGGAGACTCAAATCACAGCCCGAGAGCCGCCAAGAAAGGCAAATACTGCTCTGCCTCTGCCCATGCTGCAGCCCACGCAGGTATAGATGGGTCCTCCAGCCTGCCCAGGCATAGCCTGCCCTGGGGACCTCTTCCAGATTAACCCTCCAGCTCCTGAAATCTCTGTGACACGGCAAGAAAAATGAGTAGGAAAGGTCTCGAGCCTCTCCCACTTGGAAATTCACCTGCAGAGCTGCCCACGGGTGACAGCCGGCCGTGTGGGACCACACAGCACGGACTGGGGAGGACTGCCCTGCCAGTCCCTGCCCATAAATCCCCTCTTGCAGACAGGCACACTCCTGTGCAAGCCTCTGCCCCAGGGGACTGGCTTTCCGGTTGGGCGTGCAAGGTAGAACAATAGGGCCAAGCCCTCTATTGTTCCAGACAAAAGATAAGCCGGGCTCTGGCATTCCCCTCCGCCCTCGTGGGCAGGCAGCAGGCAGGGCTGCCACCCTGGGCCAGGGCAGAGGGTTTGCTAAACCATTCCCACATCAGCTCACTTTTAGGAGGTGAACCAGAGGGGTTGCCTCGGGGAAGGGCTGACCCACCACCCCCCCCACACCCCACACCCCCCGCCCAGCTGGGAGCTCGCACACCCATGCACACACACCCACCCACCCCCACCCCTCCCCATCCCAGCTCGCCCTGCCCTGCAGGCTTTGTCCCAGCTCTGGTGGTCCCCAGTTTTCTGCTGCAGTGGCCTCAGGCACCCACGCGTCCCCAGTGTCAGGACACCCAAGATGACGCCCAGCTTCTTGACAGACCTCAGTCCCGTCCTCTCCCCACCCCGAGCTGCTTCTCCTCTCTGCACCCCGCAGGGACACGTGGTGGGGACAAAGCACCCTGCCAGCCCTGGGGGTGCTGGCAGGAGGGATGTGGGTTGCCCAGCACTGGGGGACTGGCTCCCAGTGGCCTCGCCAGCCGGCGTGGGGAGCAAAGCAGACGTGCAAGGCCAGGACCGCTGGCTCTGCGCACCCCGGCACGTCCGCTGCAAACCCGTCGCCATCCCCTCGCGCAGCTTTTTTAAACAAGTGGTTTCCCCAGGCTCCGAACAAGGCCGCAAACCGGAGCCGTGCTGTGCTATCAAGCACCCAGGCAGAACGAGGGAGGAAGACTCCGGGGGTTGGGGGGGGGGGAATGAGGGCTGCTCACTGCACACCCGCACCCCCTCCAGGCACCCAGGCGAGAGCCGGCGGTGACTGCGCTGTGATGGGTGCTGAGTACAGCAGCGTGAAAAGCTGGGAAATGCCCCCGCTGCCTCCCCGCAGCGCTGCCGGCCGGGGTCTGCCGGCACTCCTGGCCCTGGCATCCCACCACGGCACCTCCCGGCCACGCTCGGCCCCGCGGAATCGGGCAGGCTGACTTTTACCTCCCAAGAATTTTGATTTCTGGCTCCCGGCCGGTAGCACCGTGGGCCCTGGCAGCAGGGCAAGGCAGCAGCCCCAGCACCGTGGTGGCGGCAGAAGCTGCTGCGTGGTGCTGCCAACACCATCGGGTATTTCTATCTACCTGCTTCTACATCTTCTCTTCCTTCTCCTGTTAGACTCTGGCTCAGCCCAGCTCACGATAACCCCATTTTGCATGGGCAAGCAGGTCAAATACCCCACTGGGCTCACTGCTGCCCCATGTTCTTTTACTTCTCTTTGCTTTTTTTAATTTATAATCTTATCCTCTTTCCTCCCAACAGACAATGAAATGCCACGAGCTGCCTTCACCAGCCAGAATTAAAAAGTAATAATTCAGGTCAGCAAATTTTGGCCCGGGCTAGTGGGTGCTCACAGGGCTCTTCCAGGCAGCCTTAATGATGAGCCACGTTATCTTGTTTCTCTCTGATAAGACACCCAGGGGTACGTGGGGGGAGGCTGCCCGGCCTCTGCAGCCACCAAGCTGCATCTTTTGTAACAGTCACATGCCTCGAGCAGGCCTGGGTGGTAATGGAGCATTAAATTATTGAGAGGCAGAATTTCAAATATTTCAGATCCATCTCCCAATTTGCATTCTTCAGCTGAAGGGCTGCAAGCAGGAGTGGGACAAGCAGGCAGGGAAGGCAGCTTCCCTCCAGTACAACATTCACAGAGTAGCTTTCCCCTTGAGAAACAACATATTTGAGCTAAAAGCAGCTGCGGAGCCTTTTGGGGTCCAAGGTGCTGGCAGGGTGCTTGGAGGCCAAGTGCCCTTAATGCTACCCTCCACTTCCAACCATGTGCTCCAGTATAAATACATATTTTCTGTATAAATGCGTTGTTGAGCCAGATTCAGCCACTGCATCCCCTACTTACATTTTTTACTGACCCGTCCAAATGTCCAGGACATTTCTGATGTGAGCCAGGACCCCGCACGGCCAGTCGTGCCCCCCGCACCTCCCCAGCCTCCCTCCCCACCGGTGGCGAGCTGGTGGGACTGGGCAGACCAAGGGCCCTTGTTTGGGGCTGGAGCAGTTCCAGCTTGGGACATGTGGTCCTGGAGCAGGTGGACACGGAGTGGGAGGGAGGGAGGGAGGGCTTCCAAGCAGCAGAAAATTTTCCAAAAGTTGATGCCTTGGACCCTGCCAACTTTCCTCGTGCTGGAGGAACCCACGCACTTCTCAGCCGTGCACAAGCAGCACCCAGCCATGAGGAGCTCCCCAGGGGCGCAGCCGGGCCCGCAGCAGTTCTACATGAGAGAGCAGATTTCACTTCTGAAGTTACTCCCCAAAAGGCGCAGGATCGGGTGAAGGCACTGAGATATTTTCCAGCAGAACTGTCATAAGCTGCAGTAATTTATTTCCCTTTTGCATGTTCTTTACTGGGTTAAAATGGGGTGGACATCAGTGATGCATCGTGCAAAACTTTTTTAAGTGGCCCAAATCTTCCTCCCCACGGTGCAATGAAACCAAAACCTCCACAAAGTCGGTGAAAAATAAAGCAGCAGAGCCTAGGACAGCCCAGCCCTGGCTGGTCAGGGGTGGCCGCGATGCTGCAAGGGACCCCCAGCCAGGGAACGCCCGACCCCAGGGCTGCCCGTCTTTCTGGGCTCTCCCTCCTGCCGAGCACAACTCCCCCGTCAGCCCCGCTGCCAGACCAGCCTGCTGTCAGACGCACAAAAAGAGGCAACTTTGACCCATCACTATTTTCTAGCCAAGGGAAAACAAAATGAAAATATTTCATCACTAGTCCCCAGTTTGTAGCGATGCTACGTTCAGCAGCACGGCCGCAGGAGAGAACAAAAGAGGCCAGCCGGCTTTCTCCACAGCATCGCAGGCTGTAGGTAGCAACTGCCCTGCCTGTGAGCGGCTTATTTTTTTTTCCATTAAGTGCATTTCTTTAGGAAAATAAGCACTACGCATTTTGCCAGCCTGGCTGGGAACTTCCAGGGTGTAAAAGCAGAGCAGAGCTGTACTGACAGCGCGTCCCTACAATCGGTCACAGCCGTCTGTTAAAGGTTGTCGCGGCGGTAATAAAAGCTTTTCTGATTTCTGCAATTACACGTGCACGCACAAAGCCAGCCCGACACAAAACTGCGGGAAGTGTTTACAATGGGATAAAGCTGGAGCAAGCAGGAACGCGGCTTCGCGGCGGGCAGACAAAGCGGGGCTCACCTCGCTCCACGCCGGCTCCACGGGACGGCAAGCAGCCACGGGCCGTGGGCTAACGGGCTGTCCTGCTGCCCCAAGGGTCTGCGGGGTCTGCAGGGAGGGACCCCCAAAGCAACGCCAGCCCGCCGGCACCACACCAAAATCCTTCAAAGTTTGGTTGGTTTTGTGGCACGCGGGGGGGGGGGGAGGACGGGCGGGATCCGGGAGCAGCCGCGGTTGCGCCGAGCGCACGGGGAGGGCTGGGGACGGCAGAGGGGACCCGGCTTCCCCGGCGCGTCCCACGCTGTGCCCCCGCGGGGATTCACTCCCCCGCACATCCCCCCCCCCCACGCTCACCAGCAAACTTCCAACACCCCCCCCCAAGCACCAGCCCCGCCACGGCCCCGAGGATGCTCCGTCCACGGGACCCAGCTCAGCCCCGCGCCCCAACCCACCCACGGCACTCTGCAAGCCCGGGAGCAGGAGGCACGCAGCCCCCCCCCCGCCCAAACCAGCCCTAACCGCTCACCTGGGGAGCACAAAGCACGCCGCTGCCGGGGCCCAGAGCCACCCTTTGGCCCCCGACCTGCTCGCGGGGTGCCTGAAGGCTGCTCGGCCCCGCAGAGTCTCGCTCCCAGGAAGGCGACGGGCGGCGCGAGTGGCAGGCTCGGGGAGCCCACCAGCAAGTAACAAATGTAAAAATAAACCCACTGAAAGACTAGATTTACTGCGCTTCCGTGTTGCCTGCACTGAGAGAAAAACCCTTCCTCTGCATCCCGAAATTAAAACCCCTCCAGCACATAACAAGTTTACGATCTGCTCCATCCCCCCAGCGTCCCACCGTGCCAGGGCACAGCTCCCCTGGCCCTCCCCCTCCCGGAAAATGGACATTTCGGCAGAGAGACAAAAAGTCCAACTATTCCCCCCGGGACATCTTGCACCCCGGGCTGGAACAAACTTTGCTCATCAGAAGGACACTCCGGGGAGGGGGTGGTTTGGGTGCTCCAATTTGGCAGGGGTAAAAAAAAGCCATGCAGGCACGCCAGAGGAGGTGAGCTGCCCGATGGCACAAAGAGCTTCAGGGAGGAAAATGGATTTTTAAAAATCCAGGATCTCTGCTCCTACCTATTACTCTGCTCCCAAGGGATTTTGCCTCCTGCGTGAGATGCCAGCTCAGATGCCAGGGTGAGCCCCCAGCCCCGCGGGAGAGCAGCCCCGGCGGTGGTTCTGCCAGTCGTGAGTGAAACAAATAAACAGCAAGAAGGGGGATGCTGGTAAAAATGTGTCACTCGCAAATGATTTAGAAAACTGTCTTTAGCCTGCCCACGTTTGTCAAAGGACAGCAGCTATTTTTAACACAAAGCCTCTGAAATCGCAGGCTTTCAAAAAAAAAAAATAAAAAAAAATAAAGTACTGTATCAGTGTCAACAGAATGGATTCTGTACAAAATTAAATTGAACTAAAAGGAAATTGCATGAATTACAAACACGAGTTATTGGCTCAATAGGAGAGAGTAACTGAGTGATATTATCTGGTCTGTGCTATGGAGAAAATCACATTAGCTGAGCTAATGGTCCTTTTTCACTCCTAAAATCTATTACTCCAGATTTGCTTTGGAAGTCAAGTGTTTTCCATGCTGAAGGTACTTCACAAGATGTAACTGAGACTCGAACAATATGTGGCCACGGTCTGTAATTTTTCCTGGGCAGCATCCCTCACTGGCACCGAAACCCCTGCATAGAACACTGGAAATCATTAGGCGGAGGTGGAAAGAAGCAAAGCTTTATTTGCGCATTTCACACGAAACCCTCTCCTTTACGGCTCCCTGGGCGACGCATCTCTCGGATTTTCTCTTCCGCCACTAACTTTGTCGGTGTTGAACTACGGGGGACCCGGGGGGCGAGCGCCCAGCTCCGGGCAGGGGCTGCGCTCCACCACCCACCTCGCTGCTCCCTGAGCCAAAATTTACCAGCACCCGTGAGGGGAGGGGCGGGCCGAATATGTGTGAAATCCCCCCAAATCCACCCCACACACACACACCCCCGCCCCAGCTGCCCCCACAGCCCTGCCAGCCACCCGGCCACAGCAGCGTGGAGCTGCCAGGGGGGCTGTGGGACCCCACAGCACCAGCCCCGCTGCAGGGAGGGCTCCGTTGTGCAGCAGCTTTGACCCCCACCCCCAGACCCAAATTTGCCCAGGACGGGTCGGACACGCGACTTTGAGGCGCAGCAGGACACGCCATGGCACCGGGGAAGGTGTAATAATCTCAGTGACAAGGTTCATCCGCCCTTAGGTGCCGGCAAGCGACGGTTTAGCGCAGACCCCAGACCCAAAGTGCCGTGCTGTCACTGCGGTTTGTTAGAACGACCCCAGCCCCTCTCGGACAGACAAACAGCCACGGGAAGTTTTCCTGCGTGGACCCCACGCCTGCTTCCCGGCGGCGCTGGGTTCTGCGGGACTGGCTGGAGCGTTGCTGAGATCACAGCGGACTGAAATCGCCTTTCCCTGCCCCAAAAAGGCGGGGGGGGGGGGGAAGGGGGGGGAAGTCGCGTGTTGGGGCAGGAGGGTCCCCTCCATCCCACGGCGGGGGCGACTAGGGATGGGGACCCCAACTCCTGAGCGCCGCAGGGTCATGGACACCCACAAACAGCCCCAAGTCCTGAGGGCACACGCGTGTGCCAGGGGCCGGGCACGACGGCCGGGCCCGTCTGTGCTGGCCCGCGGGGTCTGTCTGTCCGTCTGTCCGTGCACGGTGGTTGTGCTGTGACCCCCCCCAGTGCCGTGTCTGGGGGGGGAGAGGGGGTCCAGGGGACCCCGTGGTGGCCCGGGCTGTGTGCCGGGGACAAGGGGACCGGTCCCACCGGGGGTCGCGGGTGGGAAGGGGCGAGAAACCTTCCCGGGGGGGGGACGGGGGGTCTCAGGGAGGGGGCTTCAGTGGGGCAACGCAGGTTAATGGGAGGGGAGGGGGAGAGAATGACGTCCGTGGATTAACCCCTTGCTTGTCGGTCCTGCCCCCCCTCCCCCATCGCCCGGGGGGGGTTATCCGTGCCTTAACCCCTTGTCTGCCGGGATCTCCCTCGCCCCGGCACGGCTGCCGGCGCGGGGCGGGGGGGGGGGGCTCTCGGAGGAGACTTTGCAGCCCCTGAACTTTGCAGCGGGGACGGGGCGGTGTGGGGAATAGGCCCCGCACTCCCCCCCCTCCCCTTCCCCTTTTTCTTTCTCTTGTTTAAGCAAAGGGGTCTTGGGGGGATCCTGCCAGGCGGTGTCCCCCCCCTCAGCCCCGCTCAGCCCAGCCAGGGTCGGGGACCGCGTCCCGGGAGGATGCTCCCCGCCCCGGGGCTGTGTCTGTGCCCCGCTCCGGGCAATGCCCGTGCCCGACCCCCCCCCTTCCCCGGGTCGTGCCCCCACCCGGTCACACTCACGGCTCCGCCGCGCTGCAGCGCTGAGCCCCGGTCCCCGCCGCTGCCGGTGCCGGTGCCGGTGCGGGCTCCGTCGCCGCCGCTCCCGGCTCAGGTCCGCTCCATGTCCCCAGCGCCTCCGGTGGGAGCTGCCCCGGCGCCGGGCGGAGAGAGGGAGCGAGGAGGAGCAGGAGCAGGAGGAGGAGGAGGAGGAGGAGGAGGAGGAGGAGGAGGAGGAGGAGGAGGAGGGGAGGAGGAGAGGGAGGAGGGACACCGGTCCAGCCAGCCAGCAGCCGGCTCCGGGGCGGCCCCTCTGCCCCGTCCCCTCCCCTCGGGACCCCTTGCCCCTCCGGGGGACCCACGCGTGACACCGCCGGGAGCTCCCGAACTGCTCCCACCCTCTGCTCTGGAGTCCTGTGGCGGGGCCGAGACACCCCCAAAAACTGAGGGACGACTCAGAGGAGTCCTGGGAGGCACCCTGGGACCCCAGTCAGTGCGGGGACCAGTCCTACCCACTCCCAGCAAGGGACTGGGACAATGCCTGGCCTGCAGAGAGCACAACCCGCAGCAGCTCCGGGGGGGGGGGGGGGGGGGGGGGACGGGACTCCCAAAACCACAGCACACCAAGTGACAGACCCCAAAGCCCAACTTCCAGCCTCTCCTCCCCACATCATCCCCAATTTTTGCTCCTTCGCCCAGAGCCACAAGACCACCATGGATCTGGGAGACAAGGGGTAACCCAGCTGGGAGCTCGGGTGTACCAAGAGGGAAACAGGGCCCTGGCAGGGCCTTTGCTGCCCTCGGCTGCTGAGGAGCCCCTCCCGTGCCCCACATCCCGCACCCCCCACCCCACATCCCACCAATGGCTCTGCCAGGAATGCCATCACTCGCCTTCCCAAAGGAAAAAAAAAAAAAAAAAATCTTAATTTGGAGCAAAACGGTGCTCCAGCTGGAGAGCAAGGGGGGTGGTTTGAACAAACAAATGTTGACAAACAGTCTTTTTTGTATAATGAAATCTTTAAAATGTTATGTCAACATTGAAGAAGAACTGTTTACATTTTACCAACAGGGAAAATTCCCATTGACTCGAAGCTGTTTCCTCCCCCACACCGCTATTTTCTTCCATGAGAATTTCTTTTTTCCAAACATTGTCTTCACCCAGTCCCAGGAGCAGAAGAAAAGAGCTTGGGGTCCTGGTACTCCAGGCTCCCCCAGCCACCACGCACTAACTGGGAGCATGGGGTTTCTGGAGGGGCTCAGGCCCCCACCCCCCATATCCAGCCTCCCCTCACCCTGTCCCCATCACACAGGAATGAGCGGAGCTGGGCAGACCCAGGCAAGAAGTTATCTGGGAGAGTTTCCCATCTGGCATCTTCACCCAGAGGATTAAACACGAAGCACAACTGTGTTTGGAAAAAATGGTGACAAGTGGGCTGCACCCACAGACCCCACAACGTAAAGGAGCTCAGCGATATATGTACCCATTTCACAGATGGAGAAACTGAGGCCCTGAGAGGACAGAGCATCCCCAGGGCTGTGCAGCAAATACCAAATCTGCAGCAGGGCAGGATGCAAAGGCTGCTCACCCTGTGCCAGCCCCCCCAAACCCCTTGAAGCCCCTTCCCTAGGGAGAAGGGGGGATACTGCCTGCCCCCAGTGCCATCCCATGCTTCTTGCGCCCACCAAAGCCACCAGCCCCTCTCTGCTTGTGCTGGTGGCTTCCAACTGCTCCCACCCCTGGACTGGGAGAAGACCCTGAGAGAACACGTGAGGGAGAGGGTTATCGGTGGCCAAGCGAGCGCCGAGCGCGCAGGGACCTCCGCGCGCTCCCGGGGCTGCGGCTGCCCCAGCGAGGCCCCCCGAGCCGCTCCCGGTGCATCCCCCCCAAACTGGACAGGGAAACAATTAACAAAGGGGCCGAGGACCCGCACAACCGAGCCAAAAAAGAGGGAGCGGGAGCTTTGTTCGGGTCGTCATAGCAACAGCCAGGCCGGAGCAGCAGCCTGGACTTTCACTTTCCTTTCCTTCCTCCCCTGTTCCCGTGGCCGTGGTGGCCGTGGTGGCCTTCTCTGCCCGGTGCCTGGCAGGCCCCCCAGGTGTTAGCCACACTGTGGTCCCCTGGGTCCAGCACCACCCCCCAGATGGGTGCCAGGAGGTGGTGGCCCATCTGCCCAGGTGTCACCATGGGTCCTGTCCCCATCCTGGCTCTGCTCTTCCCCACGTCCTCCTCTGAGCCACACCAGCTCCACCCCCATCTCCTCCTCTCCATATCGTTGCAAGGCACCCCCAGGACCCATGGGGCACCCCCAGGACCCATGGGGCATCCCCTGGAGCTGCTAAGCACCCCCAGGACCCATGGGGCATCCCCAGGAGCTGCTGAGCACCCCCACGACCCATGGGGCATCCCCAGGAGCTGCTGAGCACCCCCAAAACCCATGGGGCATCCCCAGGACCCATGGGGCATCCCCTGGACCTGCTGAGCACCCCCAGGACCTGCTAAGCACCCCCGGGACCACAGGCACAAGGTGTCAGGATGGACACGACGGTGCAGACAGTCCCTGCCCTTTCTGACGGGGTCACACGGGGCCCGCTCAGCTCCTGCTCCATCTCTCCCTAACTGGCTGCACCCAGGCGAGCAACCAGGGCTGCTCCCACCCCGCAATCCCTCCCGCAGCTTTCTGCTTCCCTCAGCAGAAGGAAGCTGGGACAATGGGTGGAGGGGCCAGGAAAGCTGGTGGGGGCAAAGATCCCACCGTTGCCAGCGCAAGGGGCACGGAGGGGAAAGGCACGGCCAGCGCCCGCCTTCCTTTTCCCAAGCCCCCCACCCTGCTGCGGAGCTTGTGGTGCCGCTGGCCGCAGGAGCCGTGCCTCCTGCTTTGTGCTGGCTGCGAGTCCCGGCCTCCCCATCGCAGGATACTGGTGACTGAGTCATGGAAATGGTTCAGACAATGGCTTGGCCCCTTTATAACTGGCCGGAGGGGGCAAAGCAGGGAGAACAAATACGACCTTGCTTCCTGCACGGAAGTGGGCCCATTGTTTGGAAATGGGCATGTGCTTTGCTCCTCACCAGCCTGGGAAAGCTGCAAAGTGATTGCTAATGGGGAGCTAGCTGCGTGGCTCCCCGCCTCATGTGCCTGTGAAAATTCTAGGGAAGATGCAGATGAAGGTGCTGTCATTGCCCGTGAAGGTTGCTGCCACCCACCCCCCTGGGGGCTGTTTGGCCAGCGAGTTTTTCAACTGGCCCAAACCGGTGTGGTGGCAGTGGCCTGGTGAGCCATGGGCCAGCTCAGCTCCTCGCTGTATTGGAGGGGTTGGGCTCATTGGGCCCCTCTCCTGTCGCCCTTCCCCTGCTCCTGTCACAGCCCTCCTTCGCAGCACGCGGTAGAACAGGGGGTACCACTGGGCATCTCACAAACACCACTGACCTCACCAAAAAAAAACAAGCACGGTGCTGTCCTTGCGCTGGCCCTGGGGATGCGGAGCACCCCAAGAAGCAGCCTCAAGGCTTCAGGCAGCACAAACGGGGTGAGAGGAAGGAGAGGAGCCGGGGAGCAGCTTGACAGCCTTGATCTCCATGGACTGGGGAGATGATGGGCTTCAAATCTTGCCCAGCTCCTGCCTTGTGCATCTCACAATACCCCCATGCACATGGGACAAGGGCAAAACCCCACAGTGTCCCTGTCTGCGAGTGAGCGGCCACACTGCTCTTCTCAGAAAGGAGGAGCTGTGCCGGACTGGCGGAGTGAGCAGAGGGACCCAAAAAGGTCCCTTGTAACCCAGCAGACCCAGCGAGAAGCCCCGGGCCAAGAGGCTCCAAGGCTGGGCGCGCCGCGGCGAGGCCAGCACCGTGTCCCCGGCCGTGCCACGAGGTGAGAACCGGCTCACCGGGAGCCGTAGCAGGCGCACACGCTGTGGCCTCGCACGGGCAGACAGACAGACATCTGCAGCCCATTAAAGCCAAGCTGATAGGGCAATGCTAATAGAGAAGCTCAAACCCTCTGGAACTGTGGCGGCTCTGGGGCTGTCCTCAGTTCACCCCATTGTACCCAGCTCTCGTAGTCCGTAAGGTTGAAGGATGTGACACACCAAGGGCTCCGCCGGTGACCTGTCTTGCCGAGTTCTCTGCATCCCCAGGCGATGGGCAGCTTGTTGTGATGGTCTTGTACCTATTTTGTGCCTCACAGGTGCTGCCTTTCCCTGTGTCTGCTTCCCTGGCAGAGCTCCTACAGTCCCTGCCTGCCTTGGTTTTGGGGCTCAGGGTGGGCTTTTGGGGCTCAGGTTGGGAACACAGCTGGGTCTTGTGCACTGGGGGATGATGGCTGTGAAAGCAGCGCATCCCAAACCCTCCCCGAGCTGGCAGCTTCTCCTCCTGCCCCCGGCCCGGCGCCTGCCCTCATGGCTCCTAGCAGGGTGGTGGGTGAGCTCCACGAATTAACCTACCAATTATTTCCACCCAAACACAGCAATTTATCCTGGCTACTTCAGAGGCGTTCCCAGCGACTGGGAGCTCCGTGCTGCCTTCCCCCCTGATGCTGGCAGTGCCCGGCTACTGCAGGGAGTCAGGGCTGTGCGAGCGAGTCCGCCCACAGCGTAAAAGGCTCTAATCTGGGCATAATAAAACCAAGATGTTCCAGGATTGCTCTATGGGGAGCGCACTCGGAGCAGCTCAGCTCTTAGCCAACGCTCAGAGAGAGCTTGTCGGAAAAGCAAAGTAAAATTGAGCAAATAATGAAACTGCAGGTGAACTCCAGCTGTTGCATGAGCAGAAATACCTGGGCAAAACATTTAGAAATGACCGAAACTCTCCCTGTGGCAGGCACAGCAAAGGATGCTGCGAGTGTTTGGGCGCTGTGGGAAAATCCTGCGTGCCACTGCCCCGGCCCCCTCCCCGCCCAGCCGCCAGCCTCTGCCGAGGGCGATGTGCTGGTGAAGGAGGGTGGCTTTGGCCAGCACTGCCTGCGGGCAGGACACGGAGGAGATGTCACCACCTGGCTCACGGGGAAGGTGCGCAGCCAGGGCGGCTGATGGAGAACAGACCCGGGACTGGGGCCACATTCTGGATCTGGAAGGGGGATTTTCAGAAAGCCCCTTGGTTCTCCAGCTGCCTGAGAGCCTGCCAGATTGGCACCTCTGAAAGACGCTGAAATCACCCGCCGTTTCCAAAACCAT